TAGCTTCATTCGTTTGGACTGCCTTATACATCTTATACAGAGTCTTGTTCCAGCGTGAGTAATCCAGGAGCTAATTGGGAAATGATGGACATGAGCATCCAGGCATCCGGGAACTGGATTTTTGCATGTTTGGCACGTTCCTTGAACTCATGACCCACTTCAACAACTTAGCTCAAGGGGATGCCCAATACATACAAATGCCTTACAGTACTCTCAGTGAGGTGGATGACATGGCCTCAAAAAAAAACACAAAATCCATGTTCCTCCACTTCTATGTAGCAACCCCAGTGAACAACAACCTGACAGGGGTACTCACAGCTTGATACCCTGATCTTCTCCGATCAAAACTCTGGGAGGGACACCACCAAATGATGAACAACTGGCTGTTTGTCTTGGCTTGCTTTTGCAGCTACGTGTGGTCATGTAGCTGAAGCAGCATGTTCTTTTACACCGGCCGTCGCGTTGGATGCTCTTTCTCTGGGCTCTCCTGCTTGATGCTATTCTTCAAATGCTGCTCCACCGCGCACCAAAGGGATCACTCAACGCCGCCTGTGGGATGCTGCTGCCGGTCAGTCTAAGGCTTGGTAGGAAGAATCTGCAATCCACTGAACACATGCAGAGAAATTACCACGTGGGACCGGAAAACCCCACGTGTTAAAAACTTCACCAGACACATTGAAACAGAAACACGTCCAAAAACATAAATTGTAACGACAAATTGAACACATTCCAAGGTCCAACTCGAAATTTTTCATGCTCACATCATCTCACCTTCCCCCTCATCCGCCCTCTCAGATTCGGCCTCTCATGCGCGGCCACGACGGCATCATTCAGCGAGCTGCTTCGAGGCCGATGCCGCGCCTGTCCATGGTCATCCTCCCCGCGGTGGTCACAGCGCCCCTTTCGCTACTCGGTGTGGTCGCAGGGTTGAGACCATCGACTGCACTGCAGTGACCCTCCGAAAGATGTCCTGAATGTTCCTGAATGTACTTAGCTTCATTCGCTTGGACTGCCTTATATACACCTTATACAAGACTCTGTATGATACAGAGTCTTGTTCCATTGATTTCAAGCTAAGACCGAGGGCTCAAGGATGGCGGAGACATGTAATCCAGGAGCTAATTGGGAAATGATGGACATGAGCATCCGGGAACTAGAAAAAGGAAACAAACAACATGTTATTCCACTTCTATGTATACGCACCCCAGTGGACAAGGGTACTCACAGCCTGAGACCCTGATCTTCTCCAAGGATCTCTGGCAGGGACGCAGAAGGAGAGAAACCAAGAACATGGAATTGAACATATTACGTTCCTCTCCCTACAGATCAGGGACCTCATTTCACTGGGTGAAAAATGCAAGTCTTCAGTACTCAATGATATATCAAGGAGGTCATGCGGACCAGGTTTTACTCCTTGGACTGGTGGCGTTGTAGAATGGCCTTTAGTTCTTTGACACGCGCGCACAAGAGGATGCAAGAGGATGGGTGATCCTACGAATGTACAATAAATTGGCTGTTAGAACAATATGAACAATTCCCAAAGCAAGAGACAAGACATGTGATGTGTCCTTTGTCTTCCTTTTTTCAAAAAGAAATTCTCATGTCAAACCACATCAACTCAAGAAATGCAACGAAACCGTCCTCGGCCGTCTCCGTCATCGGCAGCTGAGGAGGTCAAGTCTCCACACCTTCAGTATCTAGGTGCTAGAGCTCGTCGCATGCGGAGTGTGGGGGCAGTCGATTGAGCTCTCTACAAACAATCAGATGCAAAGAGATCAACAGAACGTTCTCGAGTTTCCCCCCCCCCACCTGTTCCGGACGCAAGCGGAAAGCAACGGTCCGGACGAGTCGTTGGACCTTCAGTGCTTCCTCTGCGACGGCTCCGGAGTGGCGGCGGAACGGGATCAAACTGGCGCCGCCGGTGGCACATGCGACACCTCTTGGCACGGAACCGTGATCAAACTGCCTCAAACCCAGAAATGCCATCACTTGAACGCTCTCCGGACTTGAACCCTTGAAACCCACGGTGTACCCAGGAAGCCAACCCTTCAGTTCGAGTTTCTATGACATTCGATGGCTAAATACATATTGGTCTTGGGATCAAACGTTCAATGAAGTATAATGAAGTTGTACCCAAGTTTCAAAGCATCCTTTGAGCTTTGAACAACAACACGCGTTCATAGAAATCTCACTCTCCACGCGTTCGTCTGTGATCTCCTTTCGTCTCTCGTCCCACTGCTGAGCGCAGTACGCGGAGCAGGACACCAAGCGTTCACCAAGCGCGGAGGCGGTTCAACTACCAAAGCCGAACGAAAAAGGAACCGTCGGAGAGAATTCTTGATGAGAATTCCGCTCTTCTTAAGTGGGTGAGAATTCTTGGGGTTTTTGTTGTGTAATTTTCTTCTGGACCCTGTTTAGAGATCATTGATCCACTTGAATCATGAGGATTAGTATATGAATTCTGCTTGAAACAAAAACGTTTTGAGGTGAAGATTCCTATAGGGTTCATCCGACCCTGATGAGAAACTTGGGAAATCCATGAGACATCAATGTCTTTTGCCGACCACATCTTTGATATTGGTTTGCTCTCACATTGCTGTCTGCGGACGTATTTGCACCGCTTGTTTTGAAAGCGTTTTGAGTCGAAGATGCTTCTGATCGTTTTTTCCGGCTCCCTTGGTCCCTTTTGGATGTCTTTCCTGGGCCCTGTCCCTTCACGTGGCGTCGCGGCCGCATGGGGGGGCCACATATGGCTGCGTGCTATGCGGCCAGTTGCATCGATCGCTCGGCACATGGAAGCAACTTTTCGGATGTGGAAACAGAATCCCAAATGGATGTGACATAGGTCACACTACACGGATGGGTCATGAGTACATATAGGTATTGTATTAGTGACCATATAACTAATTACATATATTCCTTTATATTGTATATATTCTGTCATTCCATCCAAAAAAACACTCTAGACGCCGCCCTGGCCAAAAAACACGATCATTTTATTTCCGCCGCTTTGGCTTGGAGAACTTGCTCTTCACGTTCTTGACGCTCCTCGCACGTTCCAACGAGCGGGTGCACAGCGAGGTGTTCTCCCCGGGGGGCAGCGATGGGGCTACAGTGGTACAGCCCTATGAATCATATATAGGAATGGTGATACTGCCCTATGGTACTAGGCACCTACAAGTGGTGCATGATTGGCCAAGTATGTGAATTGCCATTTCTGGTGGTGCAAAGTGCTGTAAGTCTGACTGCCAAATGAAATCGAAGTCCGGAGCTGTACGGTTTGGTCGACCACCTGCGACCACCTCGTCGTCATGAGGCCCTTTATCCACGATTTTTCGGCATTGCGCACAACACACACCGCTTACAGCCTCACTGAGCACAACGCTTCACCCACTGATGTGGTGATGTTGTTGCCCCAGTTCCAATTTTGGTTGGATGCAGTGATGACTTGTCCTCTGAGTCCTCTGCAGCCATTTTAGGCACCCTTGATATTGACCCTTCGGCCTACCATCATGAGGCATGGTTTCAAACCTAAATTGCATCGAATTACTCTTGTTTGCATCGCTGCAGGTTTGAAACAGTCCATTTTTGCCAGACTTGCAGGCCATCTTTCACCATCGTTGACATGCGAGCCCACTTCAAGATGTGTGATAGATCTTCCATTTGTTGCAAGGCATCTGCCTGCTTCCAAGCAGTCAAAAGCCCCACCTTCTGGTCAAAAATCAGCTCTTGCAGTTTGCGGTTGAACGCCTCCTTGTCAGGGATCTTCGCTAGAATCGCATCGACGTCCTCCCTGCGTGTGGCTGTCATGTCTTGCACTCTGAGGCCCTCCAGACCTGCGATGCAGTGCAGGGCGAAAGCAGCAGCAGCTCAGCCGAAAACCCGAAAATCATGGGCTTTACGTCACAACAACAACCTATGAACCCATGGGTCTGCACAATCCAGGGTCTCCAGATCCGTTTAAGCCGAAATATCATAATGATCTTGAATTCTTATCTTCTGAAGCTTTAAAGCAATCCAAAGAATCCTGGCGAAAATTGTCCAGTCTGTGTTGTCTGGGCACTGTGTTGTCTGCTCAGCAGCGTGGCTTTGTTCCGGATCAGAAGACACTGCCCCATACCCATGCGCTGAGCTTCGGCGAGCTCAGCCATACACCAAGCACGGCTGAAGAGATCCAAGGACGCATCGACAGCAACCTTGGTCAAGCTGACATGCAAGATTCAAGGGCTCTACCCTGCCGTATCAAACAGTCTCTAGTTCCACAGTTCACGAAGTGATCAGTCGAGTCTTTCCAGCTCCAGTGTGTCCAGTCTCTACAGTGCGGTTCAGTTCAAGCCAGTCTTGAACCAAGCTTGAGCCAAACTGTACAGTGACACAGTGGCATAGTGACCGTAGTCATCAGGAGTGTGCATAACATTCCCTCTTGGATCAGTGTCGTCAGTACAGTGAATCCACACAAAACAGTCTCGACCTAGTCTACAGCGCCTGTCTCGAGAGGGTTTAAAGTCTCAGTGCACAAGTCACCAGTTTCTAGGCTCAGTGCAAGTGTTCATGCCATAGTGCACGTCAGTGACATAGCCTTCATCAGTTTTCACAGTCTGAAGTCCTCAGAACAGTGAGTGAGTACTCCTAAGATCACGTCAGTAAATTCAGATTCCCAGCAGTTCAGCGCTTCTTGATGGAGATCACACAGTCAGGATTTGACAGTGTTATGCCAGTGATCGTCACGTCCACCTTGCAGTCCGCTGAAATCTCAGTTGCAGTCTGGACTGCATTCTTTTCTGCGCACAAATAGTTCCAAGACCACTTGCGAAGAGAAGTGGAGTCTGCAATTCCACCTTTTTTCATAATGACTTGCGGCAGTGCCAAGTGGCCGCGCAGGAACCTCTTGTGACCATTTGAGTAGGTCTCAGCATTCAGTTCTTTGGCTAGTCCATCAACAAGTTTACCCAATGTGAACCCAAGCTTCAGTACAAAGCCAGTCTTGTACTCAACTTCTTTCAAGTCAAAGACCTTCACCTCGCCAGTATTGAGTGGCAGCCATCAGCACACCTGACCCTGGGTCAGTCCCCAAATTGTTCAGGTTGCGGTCAATCACTCATGAAGCCAGGAAGGCCACAGCGTCCTCAAAAGGAAATGCCATGTAGACGCAGTAGTCCACCTGTTCATCAGTCGCGGGGAGTGGATCATGTCCAGTCGCCCTTTCCACAGTCCGGTTGTACAGGGACAACTCTACCTCAGTCTTATGGAAACGGTAATTCGGCTCCATTCTTTCTTCAAGCCATCAGCATAGCCAGTGAAGTCACAAATGCCTTAGCCGTAGTGGTCTCATGAAGAGTGCACCCACAGTTGACGAAGACAGTCGAGATGACGGTCTTCCTTTGCAAGTTCGCCGTCACTCTTCAAGGATCTCATGTCTCTCAAGCATTGTCTTGACAACGCGAGTCATCAAGTTCACAGTTTCGAGTGGAAGGTCACCAGTTGTGTTCTTCAGTGCATGGATGAATGAGTCATAGTCATAGTCCATCTCTTTCAGCACTGAGAGTTCTGCTGGAATCTCAGTCACAGTCTCTTTCTCAGTTGGCTTCTCCACAGTTGACGAAGATGCCATCTTCAGTCATAGAGCAGTTCTCCATCTAAGAGTCAGTCAAATTGTCTCGTGCCCAGGTTGTAGTCTACGAGTCCGAAGTTCGGCGAGTTTTGAACAAAAAGTGATATGTGGTCCGCAGTCAACTTCTCTCAAGACAGTCTCTGAATTAGTTCAACCAGCTATGAAGTATTCAAACGGCCGCGAAGCGTTCAGTAGCTCCTTGAAGCAGCGTCCTACTAAAACCAGTTCGAAAGTGTCTTGGTGAAGCAGTGCCTGCTAGCTCGGGTTACAATCAGAACAACAAAACGAAAGTCCAACACCAAGTCTACGTAAGTGTGGTCCAAAGTTTCTCCAACTAAGTACTTAGTACTTAGTGAGGGGATCGGCGCAGTATGGCGCAGTTCACAGTGGTATGTACTTTCTTCAGTTGGAGACGACGCGCGCAACTAAGTCCTGCATGTACAAAGTACTTTCCAGAGCCAAACCGAGATGCTATGCTTTTGCCAGCGGTGCTTGTCTCAAGCACAGTAGGAGCCAGGTATCTCCGCTACCATGCAAAATTCAAGGGCTCAATCCTGCAGTATCAAACAGTCTCTAGTTCCACAGTTCACGAAGTGATCAGTCGAGTCTTTCCAGCTGCAGTGTGGCTATGGCTCCAGTGTCCAGTCTCTACAGTGCGGTTCAGCTCAAGCCAGTCTTGAGCCAAGCTTGAGCCAAAGCCAAAGTGTACAGTGACACCGTGGCATAGTGACCGTAGTCAGTCACAAACTAACAAACTAACACTGGATGCGCTGATTGCCTCTGACTCAGGGCTTCCAAGTGATATGTACTTTTGCTGGCGGAACTAGGAGAATTGTGAATACAGTGGGTTGCGTGTGTTCAAAGCATCAAGCAACCACATACACAGCTAAGAAATGGCCATGGATGGACTAGCAACCACCTCGGAAAATGATGGATCTGTGGATGCCAGAAAGCTCATCATATCATCAAATTTGTTCATCTCACAAAGAATGCTCTCCCCACTGTCGTTCAAAGGCGGCGTCTCGTTGAAGAATTTGGGCCTCCTGCATGAACACACTGGATGCGGCAGCATGGTGACGGGGTCCACATCTCCGCGAGGGTTTGCTCCACAAATTCCGGCATGTTGGTTCACCGAAAAGGCGCAAATCCAATACACAACCTCTAAGTTTCCTTGTAGTTCGATAATTTGCTCGACTGCATTCACGCCCGCTTCATCGGAGAGTAAGGCAGAAACCAGCTCAAAAGTGTGTTCTCCAACGGCATTGGCTACCACACTTGCAAGCAAATCCCGGAAAAGGTTGGACCAATTGTGAGTCACCATCTTCTTGGGCATCAAACTCTCATTCCCATTCACCAACTCAGCATAGGAGCTGCACGATGCTGCAGTCAGTGGGGTGATCGCCAGTCTTACCACATCATTGGTCGTGTGCACATCTGACTGGTAGGACAACATGATCTCACTTCCCAATCTCCGGTAGAAACGCAGCAGTTCCCGCAAGGAGATTCCTCGCCCGGCCAACTCCCGGACCTTCGCCTCCCATTCGCTGCCTCCGCCGAGGTTCCGTACAAGTCGCCGGTCTGGCCTAGTAGGCCAAGCGCAACACTTGGTGAAGCCGCTGGTTTTCGCGAAGTTTTCTGCGGAAGAAGCACGCAGGCTCCAGAGCCGGTAGGCTCCAGAGAAGGCAATGACACCCACTGTGCTGACCACGAGTTTCACGCACTGTATGATCTGAGTACTGAGGAGTGGGGCGAGGTTTGGCGGGCCTGCCACGAAAAGAACTGCAACACCTGTACAGAAGCAGGTGGTGGCCAAGCTGATCACAAGGCCAAAACCCTGGAGCGAAGCTGCTCTGCGGCTTCGTTGCAGAATCTTTGACGACTCTGGGGAAGCATCTTGCACCATCTTCAATGTTGCTCGGAAGATGGAAAACACATGGCACAAAGCCACGAAGACTAAAAACACCCATACGACAAAGCAGCTGGGCATTGCTATCAGGATTGCCATCATCGGAAGTTGGAATAGAAACAATAGAAACGCTGAGGCTTGAAGTTGAAGTGAGGTGTCCAGGTAAGTTAGCACAATGAGAATCGGAGACAGTATGAGCAAAGCGAGCTCTGGCCAAAGCAGGCGTCTTAGCCATACTCCGTGTCGAGGTCGCTGAAGCGCAGGCCAAATGCTTTGGAGGCGGTTCTGGATCAACACCTGCAGGCTCACCAGTTCACACACCAGTAGGAAGGCTCTGATCATCACCAGTATGCTGAGCCAATTTCCTTTAAGTCGATTAGGTACTGTATACTGGATCCAATCGTCATAGTAGGTCCGCGCGGCAAGGATCGCACTCAGGGAGACCAATCCCTCGATCCAGTTGAGGATAAGAACACGTGAAGCTTGAATGAGGTGAGGTGTTGCTGCATGGCACCAAAGCCACATGGCTCCACAGCCAGCTAGAGTGATGGACACCATGAGTCCCCCAAAACTCATGTCTAGGTGTCTTGTGGCTGCACCAATTTCACAGTCAAAACTTCCCACATCACGATCCAACTGGCACGTGCCCAGCAGGAGGAAGGCTCCCAAGCTAGTCAGCACCATGATGACACTCGCACAAGAGATCCTCAAGCACCTGTACAAAGGCACACAGCCCTTTGCGTCGAATTTCTCGAAGTTGCAACAAGGTCGAACTTGGGCGATGCGGGGGTGGAAACTGTGGACACCACTCAACTGGCTATCGCTGGAGATCTGGCTCTCAAACTCGCTGGCCATGGCTATCTCCGCTATCAACCACTCAAAGGACTCGGACTTCATATAGTTGTTCTTTGCCTGAATAGTGTGCTTCGTACGTGTGGTTCTCTTGATGTTTGTCCCGGACCTTTGCAAGTTGCACGTGTGGAATTCCTACAAAATCCCTCATTCTGGCTCGAGCCGACTTCGGATTAATTAAAGGAAGTATGAAGCTGTTTGGAAGCCAAAAGGCTAAAAGGGCTAAGAAGAAGCAATGTGTTCAACTTGCATCCGCGCACATAGCCAGAAGACACCCTCCACAGTTCAGTGAAGCTAGTGCAGCTAGTGCTTGCGTGTGCCAACAGAGCTGAACCCTTGTGCTTTGGCTCAAGAAAAGCGTTTGTCCGCGCTTTGGTCTGTCACGCATGGTGGAGGCCCCGTCCTCTTTGGCTTCTCCTTCAACTTCGCAATCCTCAGTGGACAGGAGTGCCGGGCCATGACTCGGGAAGAAGAATTTGCTGCAAAAAGACATGATCTGAAGCAAACTGGATGTAGAGCAGAGTCAGTTCGGGGTATAAGATTGCTTGGGATGCCACACCAATCTTCACCATGCCATACCGGTGCTCAAGGGAGGTAGACCGGTTTGACCGTCCGGTTCATGCTGCAGACGAGATGCACTTGGCCAGCTGATCCTTTGGCCTTCTTCTTCACCTGGATGCTGCTGGATGCAAGACATGGCGGAACATGGGAAGGAGAAGGAGCAAAGCAAAACAAGATGTGAAGTGATCTCTGATCTGTGCTCTTTCGCTCTGAGACATGCAGAAGGACATGCAGCAGCTCTGAAGTCTCTTTGTCAAAATGTCACCAGTCTCGCTTGCCCGCACTCCAACAGAAAATCACGCTCGCCTCCTCCTCTTTTTGGAGCCTGGCTGTGGAGCTCCGAAACCAAGTTCAGAGATCTTTGAGGAGATCCCATCTGCGACTGCTACATGCGTCCCATTGTCCGTCCCATATTGTGCATAGTCCGTCTCAATGGTCTGAAACAATAAATAAATTTGATGGACAAGATGTGACGAGATCCTGCATTGCTTCACATCCTGAACTAAACCGCGGCCTCCAACTTCTTGTATTGTTCTACAAGAGTATGTATCTGTATCTGACCTCGCTCGGTAAGAACCCACGGTCCAAACCGCCAGAAGACAGCAAAACGGTTGATCTGCCAAACGATGAACGACCTCCCTGGCTGCCTGGCTCCCAACTCAGCTCATCATTCGGTGTCTTGGCTGAACTGTTCATTGCAGCATTGCGTGTTCAGAACGTGTGTGGTAAACGTAGCTGGTTTTGGGCATCTTCGTTTGAGTTACACCGGCCCCTCGGACGTGGTCGGACCCCTCGGACCCAGCCCCGCGGCTCTCCCGCCTGATGCTATTCTTCAAATGCTGCTCCAGCGCACCGAAGGGATCACTCCGGAACGCCTCGAGACGTCGCCGACGAACGCTGAGCGACGAAGAGCCGAGCGAGCGTCTGCCCGACGGGTCTGCGCAGCAAACCGAACCCAATTGGGTGGCGACCGGGGGTCACGACCACCTTCGGTTTTGGCTTGGCGATTCCGAGGCTTCAGAGAACGCCACGACCACTTCGGATTGTTCTTTTTTTTGGAAACTTGTTCAGGTGACAATTCCGTCAGCAGTTCCTATAGTGTGCTTATTGGGTTTTTTGTTTCGGTCTTTAAGCCCGTCGGTCCGGCCCGTCCGTGTAGCGTGGTACATCTGTTCCGTCCGCTCGTTCGTGCAGTTGAAGGTGCTTTGGCGTTTTGCAGTCAGACTGGGAACACTTGGATGAGGTCACCTTTTCGAATCTGGTCAGGTCGCAGATCTATCTGCTCAGATTCATGACGACCCACACCGTGACCCCCACCGGACCGCGAAACACGCCGTCCCGCTCTCACGTCCTCATCGTCGTGATCACGCCTGGAACTTCAGGACGTTCTGAAACTGTGCCATCTCACGCTCATCGCTCGCTGCCTGGGCCTGGAGGCCGGCATCGCCGCCGGCCCCGAGCGGGCGAAAACGGCCGTAGCGTTCTGAGCCGCCGAATCGGGCCGTTCGGTTCGAGGCGGGTTCTACGCGCGGGTTCGTTCTCTTGCAGAGCAAAACCAAATACAAAACATATACAACAGACTCCAAACGACTAGAACACTACTATATAGAACTGCACTGCAAAAACTTGGCCTCAGCCAAGAAAACGGGCAGCTCAAGCATGGCCAAGCAAGTGTTTGAGACCCAAAGGTTGAGTTTCCTCCCAAAAACATCGCCACTGGGTCGCTCTGGATGTAGGCTTTGATGATGTCGCTCGTTTCGTTGACTTCTTGCCCGTCCGGCCATATAGGTCTCTCACGTTCATGCTCACCAAGGGTTCGTGCTCAGGTTGAAACCCGGCCATGGCCTCCAGTCGTACCGAACCGGGTCGCTTCGGTGGGGCCCGGGTGCCATGCCAGGGTCTCAACACCGAACCGGGTCGGAGCTACGACGCTTCAGGTGTAGGGTTCGGGCACTTTTCGGGTCGATCCCAACGCCAGCGACGACCAGTCGCTCGCCCGTGCGAGGCCTTGCGACCCGGGCGCTTGGTGTTGGGCGTCCGCGTCTCCGTGCGGTCTGCGGTTTGCAAGACCTCGGCACGGCACAGACCGCACCGCATGGCACCAGCACAAGCGCACGGTCATGGCGTGAGGGACATAGCTAGCCATGTTTAAACGAAGTTCATGGCGTCTCTGCTCAATGTGTTTTTCTCTTTCGGGGCTCCAGGTCAACTTGTCCTACAATGGTGGTCTGAATATATAGTGTTTTTTT